AGATGAGTCATCGCTCGCCGCGTGGTTCCCCCCCCCCCACCCAAATACGTTAGCAGCTACATACGTTCAGCCGTATCTATTAACGATGGCACGATGCCGAGGGGAAACTCGTCCAAAGATGACCGTCCACTCCATGCAGAACAAAGGCTTTTTTTCGAAGTTTTTTCATTGCTTATCTTCGCTTTTTCATCGTTTTCCCCACTATACAGCACGCCTGGTGCTATTTCCGTCACGAACTAATCGCTCCTCTATTCTTTCAGGAATTTGAGCGATGCGGACGAGTTGTCCGGGAGATGCACATCAGGGACATGCTGGATGAGCCAATGCGCTCTAGTAGTGTATCAACCGCATGAACCGACATACACCTTATCGGAAGACCAAATAACCTTTCCGCATAGTCCCGAACAAGCGCGCCAAACCTGTCCCTCTTTCCGTGGGCATCCAACCCTTTCTACGACCCTCCTTTGAAGTCCATCGGTCCAAAAGCCAGGGTCGCTGCGGCGGTGCCCTTCGCGTGCCCTTTCGTCTGCCCTCTCTCGTTCTCGTGTTACGTCTAGCTTGTTATGGTTTCTCTGATTCAAGATTTGTGCAGGGACGCAGCGTACAATTTCGCCGCGGCTCGACGCGGACCTCACAAGGAGGTAATCCCACCTCCGTCTGAGTCACAGTGGTTTTTTCGCTTATGTTTGCTGTCGCTTCAGCTCTGTGTACCTAGAGTTAGCTCTACTTCGTTGCTGCTTGTAGGTTAATTCTTTAGATAAGTAATTTCTACAACTTAAAGGGTTGCAACTTACAGCTACCAATAAATTTTCCATTTTCATTTCTGTCACAGGTTTACGGTCAGTTAAGGAAGGCGTTGTATCCTTATGATATGATGGAGGCTAGTCATTGAGTAATGTTATCGGCTGAGTTAATACTTGGTTAATTATATCTAATGGAATCGATTCACTCATTGATTTTAGTAAGCTCATAGGTGCCCATATGGGAACTTATTAACGCAGTAATGTTGTAAAGCACGTATGCCGCATGCACAAGTAACGAAAATGCTTATACTTATCTGTCTATCGTCGTTAATAAAAGAGAGCAGTGACCCTTTTTGAAGCCTTGATGGAGACGCTTTCTACGAAGGACGGGACACTAGTTCTCCTAAAAAGATGGTATTTTGTGATTATGTTACTACGAGAAGATAGCAGGTCATAGCTAAGATTTCTGGTGCCTTTGTTCTGTTTATACTGCTCTAGTTCTCGAGGTTTTCCAATGAAGATGTATAAAATTATAGGATTCCTAGTTTAATTGGGGACCAGCTCTCTTGTTTTATTTGACAACGTTTCGGGCCCTAAGCCCTTCCTAAGGCCTACAATACAATCAGTCAAATATCTCACGTAAGCATCAATACAAGATGACCAATAGCACATACTATGGAAAAAGGAATCGTCAGCAGATGAATGATGACTAAGACATACGCTTCCGAGATTCATGCAAATCCTGGAAATCCTGTAGGATAGACACGGAAGGGACACTGGGATGAGACGTATGAGAAGAACTCATCTCTCCAGCTTCCACTGTCCACACCCACGTCAGTCCTTCTTATATGTCTCATATTCGTCCCGATCCCGTGTCCTTCCTACAACATTTGCAGTGATTCACGTGGCTCCTGGAAAAAATCCGTTTCCGTGGACCAAAAACACTTGTCTTAATCATCGTTCATTTGTTAGCGATTTATTTCTCCACCAGCTTGGCTGACGCGCACTACTGCGCGCATGGTTGAATCTATGAGTATTAGGTTGTCCGGAAAGTTCTTAGCGTTTTGTGCACCTAAATTTTGTACATTCACTGCTGATTAAGAACTCATTCTGCCTTACTTCTCAGTAGCACATCCTGTAGAGAATTTCTTGCGCTATCTGATGGTATAATTGCCGTTTCACCATTGCCTTAATAAACCCCCTTTTTCCAAGATTTTTCAAGCATGTGAAAAGAGCACTTCGGACGATTTTTTTCTTCGACTATAAATTGGGGCAATCCGCAATCGAAACAGCTCAACAAATTAACCAGGTGTGAGGGCCCAATAGTGCTAGAGAAAGCACTGTGCGGCAATGGCTCTAAATATTTCGTTCTGGAGATTTCAGCCTTGAAGATGAACCTCATAGCGGTCGACCTAAAGCAATATCTGACGAGGATTTGAGGGGGATTTTGGAGGCTGACCCATCCCAAACAGTTCGAGAGATAGCAGAAGAGCTAGGCCTTAGCAAATTCACTGTTGCAGATGGTCTGGAACGCATCGGGAAGGTGAAAAAACTCGACAATTGGGTGCCCCACAATCGGAGTGACCGGCAGGAATCGGCACGTCTCGAGGTTCCTTCTTCACTGCTTTTGCGCAGCAGAAACGACCTGTTTTTGGACCGAATTGTCACCTGTGATGAAAAATGGGTCATGTATGATAACAGGAGACGGTCCAGACAGTGGTTGAATTTAGACGAACCACCGTGGTAATTTTCAAAGCCGAACCCTCACGAAAAAAATTCTGGTCACGGTTTGGTGGTCATCGGCTGGTGTGATCCACTATAACTTTTTATCACCAGGCCAAACCATCACAGCAGAACCCTACTGTGAAGAAATCGACGAAATGATCGAAATTTCTCTTGTCGAAGCACAACGCACTTATCAAAAGAAAGGGTCCGATTCTTTGCATGACAACGCCCGCCCACATGTTTCACAAATCACTATCCATAAAATGAACGAATTGGGGGTTGAAGTTCTACCTCAACCGCCATATTCTCCAGACCTTCCACCAACCGAATATTCCCTTTTGGAACATTTTCAGAACTTCCTTGCTGGGAAATACTTCATCAAACAGGACCAGGCAAAAAGCCTTCGTGGATTTCGTGATTTTTGACCACCCAGTCATTTTTTTACTTTTGATTTCTCGACTCGCTGTCACATTGGCCAAAAGTTGTGCTAATTCGAAGTGGTGCCTATTCGATCAAATCCGATGAGCAGACTAATGAAAACAGCAGTAACGCATCGCAATGAAACACCCAAAACGGCTAAGAACTTTCCGGACAACCTAATAATATACTGAGTCGCTGACACGATTTCTTACTGACCTCCGAACCTTGCCCAATTGGTCATTTTTTGAGATACGACCCATTTCATTATATTTCTCCTGTTTAATGAACATTTTCTAATGTCTGGTGCTTATCACATTTCTAAAAAACATTCACCACTGTCGTTGAATTAGAAAAAGCTAGCGGTAAAAAGTTTCGATGGTAAATAACATTGGACATCATGGTGAACATATCTCACCAATCGCGAGCTACTTTCGATTAAGCAGGCTTTCCAGGTCTTTTGATTTTGTCGGATACATCGAAACTTCCGCGGTCGAATCGAGTCCAACCTATCGCTGAGTAGATGAAATAAACTTTTTGAACTTATTCAACACCCCTGCCCATTGCTTCGTGAGTACCGCGGCTCAAACTCAGGCTGAAGGATGCGAACAGGTACTGATGCTTGTAAGCTCTCTTCTCACACTATATACAACTTTATCCCTTCACCAATTCTCTGTTTACCTCGATTGTGGAGTGGCTTTGCTGGAAACACGTTCCGAAGGTCTGCTTACAACTGAACTATGTGCTAATGAGGTTTGGGGCATCCTCGTACCGCCCACTGCAGTCCACCGATAATGTTCCCATCCTCCATCCTGCCCCCTATCTTATTGCTTGGATCCAACGTCCAGTCGTTGCTCTGGCCGGTGTTATGAATTAGGTAACCCACTCCTTCTAAGGCTCCTTATGGTATCTTATCAGCTGTTATCACGTCCTGCCACCCACCAATAATGTTTTCCATCCTGCCCTCATCTTTTTTCTTGGAACCAACGTCCCACCGTCGGTGGCCGATGTTATGAAATTTGTGACCCTCCCTTTCTAAGGCCCCTTATGGTATCTTATCAACTGTTATCACTTCCTGCCACCCACCAATAATGTTCCTGCCCGACCCCCTACATCACTTATCAGTTTGAGCGCTCTATCGCTGTTTTGAAGGAAGTTATGAATTTCCGGTCAAACACACATACAGACAAACATTCACACACACACCAACAGACACACTTAGCGGATTATATATAGTAGGATAGTCAGTCGTATACTTCCGCTAGTATTATGCTTACGTATGATGTCTGACTGATTGCATTGTAGGCCTGAGAAAGGCTTAGGACTCGAAACTTTCTCACATAAAATTTCGATGGGTGTCGTTGAGTGCACAATAAGAAAGCACTATGAATGAAGAACTTTAATCGATTACTTAACGTTCTCATCATTTCGTAGGCCTAAACATCTTCGGATATTAGAAAATCGAGCGCTAAATGATCCCTAGCTGATTCGATTTATGTGACGTTTGAATGTTTTCATATAATTCAAAAAATCTGTGCAGGAGGGCCTTTTCAGGATGTGCATGCTCTGTACATAATAATTTTTAGTGCGATCCAGGGTACGATGAAATCTTCCAGAAGTTATCGAGTGGAGAACTGTTTCAGCCTCCCCTTTTCTCGAGGCGATTATCAATTCCTGTAGAACACCTACAATTTTATTGAAGCTTCGTGGATTTTGTGACAGGCTCCTGGATGTTGTGCGGGTTTTTTCGCTTTATAGAGTCAAAATTTGCATCCAAATGTTCTTAGACTTTGTTTATACTTTGCGGAGTGTTTTGAGCGACTACGAAACGTGTGGATATCGATCTAGCGAAAGCCAGCGTACAGCAGCGTTTTCGCGGGCATCTTTTACCTCGAGCAAAACTACCCCTCCTGATGAACGCAGACAACAGATACGCACACACTTAGCGGATTACATATAGCAGGACTGGCACTTTTAAATATAGAACATTGGTGAACAGCATTGTTATATTGCTTGCCATTCATAAACTATCTGTATGTTCATGGATGTGTCGCTTATAATCGTGCTACACTCATTCATGAACTCTTTACAATCAGTGCTTATTCAGGTTATTCGATGACTGAAATCGATACTCAAGCAGAACTAGATCTGCTGGGAGAAGGTCCGGCAGCGACTGAAGGTGATCATCTCGATGAACACGCTCTGTTGGACCAGTGAGTTTGCCTTATTTGAGTGGTAACTACTAAGTCATCATCGTAATTTTGTTTTCTCATGTCGTAACGTCCCGCAGAGTTATTTTCTCGGTTCCAAATATCATTAAATCGGAACTGTCATTCGGTTCCCGGTATGAGTTTTAGGAGTGGACACTTTTCCTACCTTACCATGAGTAGCTTCATATACCGAACTCTATGTTTCCCTAGTGATCAGAGTTAGCATTTTGTCAACTATACGTTAATCGTTGGGAAAAGAGAAAAGCTTTGTGATATTCCTAGTTATGATCGATTCAGGACCTTAAAGACAGCTCCCGCGATAAAAGTGTCATGGATAGTTGCTTTTCAATTATGAAACAGTAGCTGATAAGTAATTCTCCAAAGAAGAGAAAAAGCAAGAAGAGTTCTCAAGAACACCATAAACAAGATCGCTCCCTGTCAGTCACACAGCCCTGCGGTCATTGTGCAACCCCTGGCTCACAAATCCCTTTATCACATCTCCCAGTAATGGATATCATCCAATGCAAAAAAAGAATACGGAAAACAACAAAAACACGGAAGAAAAACTCTTGAAAAGGAAAATAAACTTTTAAAAACTCGGCGTCCGAATTTAGGGTTACGGTAGCGTGCATCTTTTAGTGTAGTGCGTCGAGCTTTTGCACCACGAAAATTGGGTCGCTCGTGATTTTTACGCGTTTTACCTTGCGAGATGGGATGAAGTTGACTGTATGTGCTGCTAATGAATAATGTAATAAAGGAAAGCAGAATTATTCATGGGCACGAGCGCGGTCAGCAAAAAGGGCATGCAATTCCGATTAATGCCCGCCGCCCCAACAAAGAACAACTGAGCGGCCTCGTCAGAGGGCATCTAGCAAGTGGGCGGTCCAACTGAGCGGGCGTTAGAACTAGAACTTTGAGCGGCTGTAGCTCGCTCCTCGCTCGCTGTGGAGTCGCGAGAGTGGGACAGTCTCTAGCTTGGGGGCTGTACTACTTGCACAAGGAAAGACGACCATGTACTACTTGAGCGCGGGGGCTGTCTTTAAGAACAAACCCCGTGATTGTTTCTTGTGGACAGTGGCGTTCAGTTGCAATCCTGTAGTGGACCAAGTGACTCTCAGGGAACAGCCAAGCAAAAATAAATCATGAATAACACCCTAAGTAAAGACATGACAGCTTCTCTGGACAAGTTGTCCAGACCTGCTCATTGCTCCAAGCCAGTAAGGATCATTTCACCGCCTCTGGCCCACTTATCGTTTGCTCGCGCCATACAAGGTTAGTAACATCCAAGTTAAAAAAGAACGGAAGACGCATTGCAATCTGAACTCGTGACAGAAACTAGCTTTGCGAAGTTCGGTTGGGCGTTGCGTTACAACTAGGGAGACGTCAAAACTGCCGCTCATAAGAGCCACAGCGCCTTTGTTACTTACTGCGAAACCGCGGAAGCGGTATAGTCTCTGGGATTGCGCACCAAACTACTTAGAAGAGAAATCGCCCACGGTGCAAGATTGCTTGAGCACGAGGCCTGTCTCTGAGGGCCACTTCGACGGCCCTCACTTTCCAATATGCTCAGGTCTTTGAAGTTTTCAAAACTCTCCTGACACCTTGATAATGTCCTCAAATGGTTCAGGACGCCTCCACCAAGCGATGAAAATAACGGCAAAAGCGTTGTGAAGTCTGAAGAGCTGAAAAATGAGGAAGTCGATCTTTATGATGACGCCATCGCACCATCTTCTGCAGAGAAATCGCTAGCTCCTACACCAGCACGCCCACATGTCACTCAACAAAATGGGTCGACATCGCATCCACATCCGGATGGAAAACGGTTATATTTGGCCCTTATGAGTTAACTGACTTTCACAATAAATATGATGTTTTAGTTATTGCTGCTACATTGGTAACCTGGTTTGGTGGGCGACGGACGCCGAGGTTGCGGTTGGTTTTTTTATTGTATTAGCTGTGAGGTCGCGTAGATACTTCAAGAAGCAGGGAATCCGTGCAGTGGCAGAACATGCGCCAATGAATTCGGTGTAAATCGATCAATCCGATCATCAGTGAATTCCGACATCCGGAGACTTTTTCGTTCTACGCTTCTCGGAATTCACTAACGGACAGAGTCAGTGTATGCTCTCCCTTACTGTTGGGCTCATTCTGTGGATCCTTCCTGTCGATCCACTGGCGCGCATTTGCCGATCCTACTATTCACGAGATCTCCCGGGTCCCGGATTCCCCACATTCCCAAAGTGCGGTCTTACTGAAATCTTTGACTTATCGAAGTCCATTTTGCCCTTAGAATTTTTCATATCCTTATTACAGCTACATGTCAAGGAAATTGGAATAACGGATTTGATTGATATGAAGTTTTTTGAAAATAGGACAAATGGACAGAGTAAAGGATTTGCACTG